GACGTGAGGGTTGATAGGTCCTGTCTTGCGCGCTAGACTTCTCTACGTGCGCGTCAGAATCTTCAACCTTGTAACTTCTGGTGATTGAGATGGACGGAGTACGCCGCTGGCTCTGAGTGCATGAACGGCGGGGTTGGGTGCGCTCACTGTGGTCTCCCACTCCAGCTACAACCTTCCCTTTGACATGTCGCTTAAGATCCTCCATCTCCGCTGCCATTCTCCAGATGACGGCGTCTTGGTCCCTTAGCTTGTGTTCTAGTCGCCTGGCGTGCGATTCTCTCCGCCGCCGGTGACCGTCTGGACTCCGTGAATGTCCAAAGCTTCTTCCACGCTTATCCTGCGCGTCTCTTGAATGTCCTCCTGGAGAAGTTTCCAGGTTCGCCATAGGAGGAATGGCGGGATGTCCTTCTCTCCGTCTGCCTGACTCCGGGGTAACTCCATCGATGGCAGACAACGGAATCTCGTCGTTGTTCGCCATGGACGGCGATCAGATGAGCCTGGAAGACAAGGTTTTGTCTTTCAGAGTTCCCACAGACGGCGCCAATTGTACGAGGAGAAAATATTCTGACAAGCCCGTACTCTTTTCTTCCAAGCTCCTGCTTGTCCGATCGACTTGCGAGCACAACGACGGTGAGCTACCCAGCGGTGTGTGGTCGGAATACCCCTCCGACGATCAAGTTAGACACACACAGGGATAGAGAGAGAGGATTGAGTGTTTAGTGTAAATCTCACCAAATGTTCATCTATCCAGGCATGGGGGGCGCAGACTCGCTTATATACCTTCTGTGCCCCAAATTTACTCTCATTAGTCTCTCGATACGTGGTGCTGCTATCCCATCTGTCAGCACAAATCCAGCAATCACCACCTAACCAAACTGTTAGGATACCTCGGCGGAGCTCGGCAGACCGGCGGAACCTCCTTGGTTTCTCCTGACCGCGCTGCGCGGCATAACTTAATGAACCATTTGCCGAGCTCCTGTACAACCAAACTCAGCTGCATTCCGGCAAGTCGAGCTCGAGGTAGGTCGAGCTGGTTAGCCGTCGGTCTTCCTGCCGAGCTAACGCATGAACCGTGGAACCCATGGAGACAGGCAGACATCTCGGCCGAACTCCCAGTAGGCCGGCTTCCGCACCAACAAGCCAAGTAGCTCGGTCCAACATGCCCTGTGCCTTAACCAAACAAAACCCTTCCGAACAGGCCCAAGCTACCACGGCCCAATCGTGTTCGGCCCACAATTTGCCCGGCCATTACCATGGCCCAATTCAGCTCATAAATCTCCCTCTCAATTACTTACCAATCAATCAATACATGTATGTAGTATAATTTTGAGAAGTTTGTAATGGAAGGTATGGTCAATGTAAGCTACTTGTAGTATTGTGAATACAAGCTTTCATACCACTGCAAACCCTGTTTTCATTAACTTTGTATCACCATCACTTAGACATAAACCCTTCGACTGTTTTTTTTTTTTTTTTCGATCTCCTTTTTTCTTTTGAGGTTTTGCGTCCGACTGTGTATTTGAATTATTTTAAAAATCTAGAAACTAATTTGATAAAAATAAACACAAAACAATATATTTTAAAATTTTCAAAACTTATTTTCACCTCCAAATAATAAATAAATAAATAAAATTATTTGATTTTGGCTTTTTTAGTTGGCTTTCAGTTTTTTGACTTTTTTTAGCCTGAAACTTTTTTTAGTCGTTTGGTATTCTTGTTTGGCTTTTTTGACTTTTTGACTTTAGAATGACAAAATTGCCCTTAGTATAGAATGATGCTTTTCTGACTTTTTGTTTATGTATGGGGTAGTTTGGTACTTTTGTAGTTTTTTTTGTCTTTTTGTGATTTTGTAACTTGTTTTTTGTCTTCTGTGATTATATAGCCTAAAAAGAAAACCAAACGAAGGCTGAGTATGTTATTATTATTATTATTATTATTTTCCCACTAAACTAGTTTTTAAAATTTTACAAAGTATTAAAATTAACCAAGCATAAACTTGTCGTGAAATTGGGTGCTCTTAACTTTGAATAAATTGGCTCATGGCTTTTGGCCTAGTGGCATGGAGGTAATACTTAAATGCTTGCAATGGAGATGATAAGGATTCAGCTTTGTTCAAGATCTAATCTAAGTGGCATGGAGGTAATACTTAAGCTTGCAATGGAGATGTTAGGCTTCCTCCAAGATCTAACTAGCAATTAATAATTGACTTTTGTTAATAAAAAAACTTCATAGCAAAACTTCGAATAAATTGTAGTAAACATATTCAACGTTGATATTATCTTTTGCATTTCACTTCTAACACACAAAAAAAATTATATCAACAAAAGAAAAAATAATGTTATTAATGTAAACTTGGGCACAATAAGTACAATCAGATTACATCAATAAATACAAAAGGGCTAAATAAGAAGTATCATTGTCAACCAAATATATGACATTTAAATGAATTAAATTGACTCATTGTTAAAAGCTAATTATATGCGAAGTCGAACACGAAACATGTACACTAATGAACAAAATGTTGATAGGCAAAAAAGTCTGATGGAATGGAAAACACTAGTTGTTTCTGGGCAACCAAATCAACAGGTCAGTGTTGCGTTTTAAATCAACTGTTCCAACTACCCAATAAAAGTGGATACCTCATTTTAAAAACTTCAAAATCATAGAAAAAGTCCTTCCTCAGATTTGATTTGATTTGATAAAATGATCAATTTTAGGACTCTTTCATCTATACGGTTTTGCTGTTTGCTGCTGCAATTCTGGTAAGTTCAAGAGACACAAGGGTAGTTTAATATACTTGCTTTGCTCCCTCTGCATTAATTGTTGTTGACAAGGATACCACTCAATGAATGAAAATGTAAAAATCAACTGACAAATACCTTAACACTCAAAAAGCAAGTAGGTAACATACTCCTTCTAAAACACCCATGCATATCATGATTTTAAAATGGATCTGTTATAAAAATGTGATGGAATTCTACAATTGTGGCGTTTCGTCATCGTTACCAAATGCTAGTAACAGGCCATTGCTACATTGGTATAGTTATGTAACAGTGACTGCGATGTCTGTAACCAAGAGTATATATATAGGAGAATGGTCACAACATATCTTTTTTTTATTCTTCTAGGGATTGTTTTCTATTTAAAATGGTGGATATATTGCCCTCTAAATAGCACTTATCTCTAATTAGATTACTTAGTGGGTAAATTTATAACCCTTATGTCCTCTATTATAAAATATTCCGGTCTTATTTCTTTGGCTATTCTTATGCTATGTTTGGTTGGGGGATTAAAAGAGGGATTTGGAAAAAGAAGTAGAAAAGGTAGGTGAAATGTGAATAAAACATGCATCTATTTCACATACATTTTCCCTTTTCCTTTCCAAATCCCTCCTCAAATTCTCTAACCACACACAGTATTACTATTTGCATAAAGACTCCACTCTTTTTGAAAATAAGATACATTTTCTTCAACCAATGACATGTATGTTGATCAACTTAGGATCCATCGTGCATTGTCTTTGCATTGAACCCAGAGCTTTTGTCAAATAAAAATTCATTTCTCTGAAATCCCTTAAATATCTCTCTGCACTCATTTATATAAGATTCTTTTTATAAAATATATATATATATATATATGTGTGTTGCAATACATATGAAAAATATAATGAGAAATTTAAGATTTGGCATTTGGGTTAAAAGTTAGCTTTTTGATTTTCTAACTTTTTTTAATCATATCATCTCTTTACTTTTTTTATACGTTTTTTAAAAATAAAAAAAAAATTAAAAACTGAATTTTAACCTGCTTAGAAGCTCTTCAAGTGGGGATGAGGAAAATGAGGCTAATAAAATGTTGATTTTGTGGAGTTATCTAGACTTTATGGTTGGGAAATCTAAGATGATGTGGAAAGATTACAAAGATTTGAATGAGCATAGGAAGTAAAACTTTTCTATGAAATAATGTGGCAAATTGGATTGTATAAGAATCCTACATACCATATAAATTTTGGAAAAATTAAAATATTAAATTCTATCTTGTTCATATTTTTTTGTGAGAGGGGTTATGACCTCTGCAGTAGTGGGCTCACAAAAGTGGACCACACCCTCCGATTAAGAGGAGGGAATTTAAACCCCAAGGAAAAATCACTAGAAAAAATTAGGCTAAATTATAAATACACCCCCCTCAAGTTTGATTAAAATAAGAATCACCTCTTGTGATTTTGAAAATTATATTCCATCTCCTGAGATTTCTAATTTCATAACAAATCGTCGTTTTTATTAATAAATCATCATGTTAATTAACAGTTTTTAATGACGTTAGAAATATGTTTCAATTAATAATCTAGGCAATTTTATTATAGTATAAGAGAACAATTATGAATTTCATTTTTTAGTTAATTCTGTTAAATAAAAAATACTAACAAGGAGGTATTTGTAATTTTTCAAATTACAGAGGGCAATTTGTACTTTAAACAAATCTCAGGGGGTGTATTTGTAATTTATTCTAAAAATTAAGGTTTTAAAAACCAAAATTTAACGATAAAATTATTTTTTCGATACCAAATATTTTTGTTGTGAAAAGTGTCGTCATTATATTTTTAGCAACAAAAATTGAACATCAGTAATGAATTATTATCCTTTTGAAACTAAATTTTTTGTCTTAAAAAATAAAACCAAATTATTTTGTCCCTAAAAGTCTATTTACTTGTGATATTTTTAAAATTTTGTCACTAAAAATCTTATTTTTGACGTTTGGAACGATCTTTTAGCGACTATCCTCACAAAAATAGAAATTGATTCCTAAATGTCTTTTGCAACAAAATTTTAACTTCTAAAGATTAAAAAATGTGGTCTCTGAAACTTTTATATGTTGTGGTGAATGCTAAGATTCCTATCCCTCTTTTTCTTTTTTTTGGTTTTGTTTTTTCTGGAATTATCCCTATTTTTCCTTTGTCTCTATCCACCCCTCTACTTCTATATAAACCACCACCCTCTTCCTATCTCAATGACTCATATCACCATAGTTAGTTAATATCCTGCATTGCACTACTTCACAAGCACAACTCACCTACTCATATTTACATTCATAAAAAAATATAATAAAAAAAAAAAGGAGAGAGATGGAGATAGTTTTTCCTCTATATGTTCTTATAATCTTTTTCCCCAGTCTACTCTTGTACATTTTCTTGAGAAAAAACAGGAGAAGCCCTCATAAAAGAGCTAAGCTCCCTCCTGGGTCAATGGGGTGGCCTTACATAGGAGAAACACTTCAACTCTACTCCCAAGACCCCAATGTTTTCTTTGCTACCAAACAAAGAAGGTTTTTTCTTATCCCTTTCACATGTGGTTCTGCGTTCTTAGACCACCTTCTCAATTTTCAATTCTCTCTCTTTACTTTCTTGTTTCACAATAGTGCATGACTTTGAATGGTGGTGGTCCTGTGTTTGTTTAGGTATGGTGAAATTTTCAAGACCCATATTCTTGGTTGCCGATGTGTCATGTTAGCTAGCCCTGAGGCGGCTCGGTTTGTGTTGGTGAACCAAGCTCACTTGTTCAAGCCAACTTACCCCAAAAGCAAGGAAAACTTGCTTGGCCCATCCGCGTTGTTCTTCCACCAAGGGAAATATCATATCCGCCTAAGGAAGCTTGTTCAAGGCTCGTTGTCCCCAGAGGCCATTCGCAACTTGGTGGGAGACATTGAAGCCGTGGCAGTCTCTGCCTTGGACTCATGGGCTGGTGGTCAGGTCATTGACACATTCCAAGCGATGAAAAAGGTTGGTTTCACTCAATGTTGTTTGTCCTAAATAATTGGATTGGTCTCTTTATAGCATTCTTAGATGTGTTACTCTAAATTGTCTTCTTTTTCTTGTTTTTATCAAACGGGTCCTCTTAAAATTTTGTATTTACAGATGGGTTTATCCATGTACTTCTGTTTTTGTGATGATTTTTCTAATTTATGCTTTCTTTTTCAGTTCTCTTTTGAAGTTGGTATACTTGCTATATTTGGCCATTTGGAGGCTCATTATAGAGAAGAGCTGAAGAAGAACTACAGCATAGTAGAGAAAGGATACAATTCGTTTCCAACAAAAATTCCGGGAACTCCATACAAAAAGGCATTATCGGTAAGTAAAATATTTTAAATTTATACAGAAAAAGCATCTAGAATAGAATGATGTGCCGCGTTACTAGTTGGAACTTGGAAAAAAAAGTTATAAACTAGGCTTCGTTTGGAAAGTAGGTTGCCTTTTTGACTTTTGAATTTTTTTGGCTATTTTAGCCTGAGCTAAAAAGTTTGGTTTGAGAATAACTTTTTGACTTTTTGGCTTTTTTGACTTTTTTTATAAAAAAAGAGTATAATGATTATAGGTTAGATGTGATGTTTTGTTTGTTGTGGTTAAAATAGCCTATTTTATCTTTTGTGGCTAAAGTAGCCAAAAAAATTCCCAAACCATCTTCCCAAACGGTGCCTAATACACTTTCTGTCTATTTCTAAATGGTGAATTATTTTTTGAAGGCACGGAAGAGGCTAAGTAAGATTCTAAGCAAAATTATTGGGGAGAGGAAGGAGAAGAGGTCTAATGAGAAGGACCTTGTGGGATGTCTCCTGAACTCTAGAGATGATAAAGGTGAAATCTTGACAGAAGATCAGATTGCCGACAACATCATCGGAGTTCTCTTCGCGGCTCAGGACACTACAGCCAGTGTCATGACATGGATTCTCAAGTACCTCCATGACGACCCGAAACTTCTAGAGGCTGTAAAGGTAAGAAGATCTAGAAGAAGTCATAAAAATACTTTCTTATTTTTGAAAACAAAAAAAAGGGGAGGATCTAGAAGAAGCCTCTCTTGTCCCACCTCTTGTCTTGACTTCAAATTCAATATTGTGTTATTAATGTTGATGTTATCATTTGTAGGCCGAGCAGAAGGCAACAAGTCAATCAAATGAAGAAGGTAATCATCCATTGACATGGACTCAGACAAGAAAGATGCCAATTACTTATAAGGTATGCATAGAGGCCAGATCCTCTGTTTGGAGCCTTCCCTCTTTATCATGATCTTGTGGTGGAGGGGGGTCTTCAGATATTGGATGGGAGAGATCCCTACAGAGAATTCTCTAACTCGTTCTTTGCTACTTTCATGCAAGAAATTGCACATTTTAATCATGGAAAAACCTCATTCGGCTATGGACTTTTCAGGTGATATTAGAGAGCTTGAGAATAGCAAGCATTATATCGTTCACATTCAGAGAGGCAGTAGCTGATGTAGAATACAAGGGTAAGATAACTGCCCAGGGTAAATTATTGAAAAATTATTTGTTAAATTTTGATTAATACGTGAATATTTAAGATTGAAATAACCCAATTTCAGAATAGCCTGAATTTGGGTAAGAAATAACCAAATTTTTTGGTCTGTTTCTCCGGGAATTTAACATTATTAAGCTGGAACAGGGTACCTAATTCCAAAAGGGTGGAAGGTTATGCCTTTATTCAGGAATATTCATCACAATCCAGAATTCTTTAACAACCCTCAAAAGTTCGATCCATCAAGATTCGACGTATGGTCTTAATTTCTATAGCTAATTTCAAGCTCAAGGCTTTTCTGAGTTAACTTTCTTTCCTTTTCTTTTTTCTAAATTTTTTTCATGGTGTATGCAGATTGTGCCAAAGCCCTATACATTTATGCCATTTGGCAGTGGGGTACATGCCTGCCCAGGAAACGAGCTAGCCAAGCTGGAGATGCTCATATTGACCCACCACCTAGTCACCAAGTTCAGGTACTGTGTCCAGAAGAACTTGTAAAATCACAGAGAGAGAATAATATTTTATTATGTGTGATGTAATTTCTGCCACACACCAAATATACACTCCATAGCATAATTTTAAGCAATATCCCCTAAATGGTCCCTACAAGGAGATTGCACCTTGAGACTTCTAAGGCCAGCATAACATACCAGCAACACAATTCAAGATAAGACTACTTTTCTGTCTAATGTATCACATTTTTTGACGTAAAAACAGTCATGTGATTACTCAAAATCTAGCAGCTAAACCAGGCTTCTCTACAGAGTAGTCTAGTTGGTGTGTTTTGCGGACTCCTCTGCCGAGCATATCATTCATGTAAAAAGATCAGGCTGATTGGATGTCAGTAGCCATATGATCATATTATATTTTAAGAATTGACATCCATTTTTTGAAACAAATGTTTCGATCATGTAGTTAACAATGTCCACTCAACAAAACGAACTGTTCTAATCACAAAAATAGACTGAGATGAGCCCACAACGTGCCTACTGTACCTCTCCAATCAGATTAAGGACATAGAGAAGCATGTTTATTAAAAAAAACTATATATAATTCAAGAGAGAACAATTGAATAAATTCTAGTAATGGAGGGAGACAAATCAGACAAACAAGATCTAGAAGATCTTGGTGAGCTAGTTATATATAGTATATATATTTGACTGATGATGATGATGATGATGATGATGATGATTGTGGTTGTTGCAGGTGGGAAGTTGTGGGATCTAAAAGTGGGATCCAATATAGCCCATTCCCAGTCCCATTGGGTGGACTCCCAGCCAAATTTTGGAGAGAATCTGCCCCCTAAATCCACCAGCATGGGTGCTTCTGATGTTGGCACATCCCAAGCCATCCCTTCCCCAAACTTACCTTTCATTTTTGCTCTCTTTTAACCCATCCCCTTCAAACTCATCTGGGCGTAGAAGATGCCTCTCTCTCTCTCTCTCTCTCTATATATATATATATATATAATTATATTTATTGCATCTGTCATTTTAAGTCAAGAATTTTACTCTATTCTTGTCTCTTCTATACATATATGTACCTTTTTAACTGGCATTTTGTATTGGTTACATTGATGAATTGGAATTGAAAAGAGTTCCAAGGGAATGAAAGGTAGTGCATTAACCCCAGTGAATTATTCTCTCTCTCTCTCTCCTCTGGTGAATTTATTCTTTGATGTGTTGACTTCTTAAATTTTTTTCTCAGCCCAGCTCGGGTTGAAAACTACACTAGTAATGCTAGAGATACATGGTGTATGATTTACTTGGATGACTTCATGCTCTCTCCTATTGCCACGTGTCTATGTCGTGTATTGTTGTCCTTCAGTGGATTTATGTGTCAGAGGCTGCAAGAGAGCCGCGTGTTTCAAGTGTGATTGGCCAACTGAATAAAGTGTGCTCAGCTGGAGGGCACCCTCCAAAGGAACACAACTTTATTGGTCTCATGGGATATACTAGTAAAAAGATGTGGCTTACCCATACCTAAAATCAACATGCGAAATCTTTCAACCCTAAGATGACAGTAAAAATCCTCAGCAAATACTTCTTTAAGTATTTTTTAAATTACTCAAGAAAGTTTTGATTGTTAAAAAAAAAAGAGAGAGAGAGAGAGAGAGAGAGAGAGAAGAAAACGAAGAGGAAGAGGAATTTATAGTCCACATGGATGATATATAACAATATAGGAACAATATCATATAACAAATGACATTAACTTTCTGAATTGCACTAGTTTCCAGTCCTAATAGAATTCATGATCACCTCATCATGTGTATGGAAACGTGACAACTGATTTCCTTCAAAAAAGAGATCTGGTTGTAAAAGATTTTATTTATTTATTTATTTTTTTGATAAGTGCCAACATTGATTTTCATCAATATTGATTTTCATCAATGCCTAAAATCATGAAAGAGAGAATAAATAAATAAAAAATCATTCAACAACTATAGGATTCATTAGCAAAAACTTCCAGAAAGGTTCTGATTTTCGATAGAAATATTCTCAAAATTCAAGAAAGGTTCAAAACAGAAAGAGGGAAAGAAAATGAAAATGAAAAGGAAAAGGGTTGGTTGTACGCCAAGAAAGAACGATCCATTTTCACATTCATGAGAATTATTCAAGATTGAGAATAACAATTTATTCCAATACAAAAAAGTGCTCACAATATCTGCTCCTATCATCTCATGAAGAAACAAACAAAGATTTTTTCCCTTATATTTTTAGGAGTAGATGGAGTCTATGAAGAAGGTATTGAAATGAATTCTTTATCAGTCATCAATGTTGCTACTTGCAAAATTAAGAATGGCAATTAGAGTGACATTGACATGAAACTATGACTCAATGCACGGAAGAATAAGCAAACATTTGACATTAACAAATGAACACAAGTACATGGTGACAGTTTTAACTGTTCATGACATGATAAATTTCTTTCTTTCAAACAAAAGATTATTTGGTATTATGATACAACAATGCAGCATGTTACAAATAACTTTACATTCTCTTCCATCAATGACTAGAATGATGCAGTAGATGTACAAAAAGCAAAGTTTGGAATCATAATCGGACCAGCTTAAACATACTGAGAATCTGGATCGGCATATTTATGAATGGCTGTAACAATCCTGTCTTTATCTCTAGTTGGAAACGCTTCCAATAACGCTCCATCTTTGTAGAAGTGAAAGAGGGGCACTGCCTGTGCCACAAAACAATCGCATATAGAAGTAAAAAAATAAAATTCATGGAGATATCGGTACAATGCTAGGAAGAGAACTACAATGTGAATTGGCACCTCACATGTCCCTTTTTTTTTTCGACCAACCAAAAAAAAAACACTTCAAACCCTTATTTAACCGAAGGTCCATTTTCACATCCTTGGTAAAAGTTTGATAAATTTCACAACAAAATTCATCAATTATAAGAAGGCTACTAGGAGATTTACCTTGATTCTAAGCCGTTCAGCAACCTCAGATTGCTCCTCATATTCATCAATAACCTGTGGTGATTAGCACAGAATCAGAACCTCAATTTAACTTTGCTTTAACCAAATTCATTAAAACGTGATTTTTTTATTTTTTTTATTTTTAATTTTTTAAGAATAAGAAAAGGAAGCTTGGTGGAGTTGGGTTTTGCAGTACATGTACAAACAATCCTACTTTCACTGCTAAAGATCCTGAAACTTTACACGGTATATAATTTCATAAAGCAAACTACTCAAAATTGGCTGAAACAATACTCACATTATGTTTCAAGAAGATTACTTTAGCATCTTGATCACCAGAACCCTTGCACAATTTTGAAAAGATTTGCCCTATGTACTTGCAGCTACCGCATGAAGTGCGATAAAAATCCATCACAACTAAAGCATGAGTTTCCTTGGCCTTCTCCAAAATTTTCAAGAACTCCTCATCGGTTCTAACTTCCCTGACACAATCGACCGGACACAGCTCATCATCGTCATCAGAGAACTCTTCGAGATTTTCATTAGCAACACCTTTGACTGCAGTTTCGAATGAGTTACCAAATTTCAAACAATCCAACCTTGAAACTTTCGTGATAGATAGAATCTTTGCTTTCAAACCTCCTGATTTTGTGAGACTTCTGTCAGGAAGTAAATTGGGAACTATGTCGCGCATTCCTGAATCACATTGTCGGTCTGCAATTTTTCTGAAATTGAAAGATGGTTTGTGATACAGAATACTCTGATTTTGCATGACCTGCACAACAACAGTCTATGCTTATGCTTTGAATAGAGAACTTTCAAAATAAAACTTTGACATGTCTTAGCTAATTCTCTCTACAGAATTACTTCTGATTTTCTTATCTGATGTAGAGAAAGATTCTTCACGTAAACATGCGGTTCCTTATACACATAACAACTATTGTTGTAATAAAAATTCTCAAACAGCTAGACCGCTTTCATACCGGAAATTATATTAAAATTTGTGAGCAACAACAAACAAATCGAAATGATGTCACAAAAAAAGTAGATATAAATATTAGAATTATGCATCCACAAAATGCACAGACTGAGAATTGATCGGTGTTATGTAAGCAACAACCAACAAATTCAAATGATGTAAAAAAATAGATATAAAAACTAGAATTGTGCATCTACAAAGATTACAGATGAGAATAGATCGGTGTTATGTAAACATCAAGATATAATCTTATTGCACAGAGACCATGCATTTGGTATCACGCAACAAATTATTGAAACTTAGTTGTTTCATATACCAGACCAGGAACGCCACACACTTCAAAAGGAAAACACCAAATCACCAACCCAGGCAAAAACTAGGGTATTCTATACCACTTCACTCAACCTTGACAAAATCAAATAAATAAATAAAAATGGGAAAACATCAAATATTTTTCAAGAAAATTTGCGGATGTTGGCCTACAATTCGGAAGCACATTTTGTTCTCTATTTCTTTACCGGGAGCCTTGTGCACTGGATCATCTTTTTTTATGATACCGACCTTATAACAATGATATAATTAGCACAACATGAATCACTTATGCAGTGAACACTTCCTCTATCCCTATCAATCTATAAAGCTCAACTAAATGCATAACCACACTTTTAACCCATCCACAAATTTCAACCCAGGTCACAACAGAGCCGAAGTCAATTTACTCATAAATCAATCTCTGCTATGTAAATACGACAAGTACATTGACCAACACTAACATGATTTTACTCATAGCAGTTTAAAAAGAAACCGAACCCAACAAAAATGAAACGCAGATTAAAGAAAACAATCAAGATTTTCCAAGAAAGTGGGAAAAGAAAGTAAAAGATTTAAAAACTAGGGTTTTGGTTTCCAGGAAAGAAAGTATTGCTAACCCAGTTGTGGTCTTTGTGGCAGTCAGTGCCCGCGCAAGATAACTGGAGATAGAAATTTTGGATGAGAGAGGACAGGATCAGCCACTGTCATACACACATTACTCTGTTAGGTTTTTGGAAAAATTGCAACTCAATGCCTCATTTTGATTTATATTTCATATAACCCCCTTAGATTTTTCATATTTATTATGATAAGAACATTTTCGTTCGTTTTATGATTAGTGCAATAGAATTTTCTTTCCTTTCTTTTCTTTTCTTTTTTAAAATTATGTTTTCATCAAATAAATGAATCCTAGTTCTATTCCATATATTTTAATAATTGTTGATTTTAAAAATTAAACAAAAGAATTTCCAATATGACTAATAATTTCAATTTTTTTTCATAATTTTCTAAATTTTTCGTAGATAATTATTTAATAATGACTTGTATTTGTTAAATAGTTTCACCAAACCCTTTTGGAATGCTCCCCTAACTATCCATATTTGCTTTTTAATTGAGTATAAATATTCACACCTCACATAGATAGAGAAAATAGAGTAATTTAGTATACAGAAATGTTTAGAACTCACTTTTATTGAGTTTCATGACCCCCAATTTTATCTTGGCCCTTGATGTGTGTGTGGGGTCCACTCATGTATGTATAGACCCCACATTATGAGTAGTTGGGATGAGAGTGAGAGTATGGAAGTTATGTATATGTGGGGATCTCTATCACAACTGTTTAACATATAGCTTAATGTGTGTACCTAATAATTAGAGGCGAACATAAGGATTGACAAACATTAGCTCCTTAAATTGAGTGGGCAAAGTCATTCATATATAATTTAAGGCCTCGTGACTCATAAAGAGTTTTTATCTGTTGTTGCTTCTCCTTAATGTTTCTCTTAGATAATTTTGACATTATAAAATCCAAAATTATATATCAGTCTTGAGAAATGACTTTAGAATTTTTTTTTGTTTTTAATTTCAGTTAGCTCATATTATTTGTCTTGCCATTATTTTTATGATGAAAATTCTCCCCCCCCCCAAAAAAAAAAAATAAAATAACAGTTCTTTACTAGTTAAAGGGCACAAAACAAACTTGTGTAGTCCATGTTGTTTTTATTTTGAAATGATTTCAAAATTGATAAATTCAATAACTTTTTATCTAAATTTAGTTTTTTATAAAATATTTTGAAGACTATTTCATCGTAAACTATCCATGATAAATATAAAATTCTAAAAAAATGAATCAATGAAATTTCACTGACTTGAGTTGTCAAAGTTTTGTTAAAGTCGGTGAATTAGTGAAATCTGTATTGTTTACTAACTTAATAAAATTTTCACTTGTGTTGTTTGCAAACTTAAGTCAGTAAAATTTTAATTAAGTCAATGAAATTAATTAAATTTTACTAAAGTCAATGAATTTCACTAACTTAAGTCCATAAAAGTCAATGAAATTTCATTTGACTTAAATTCAATAACATTTTATTATTTTCAAAATAGTGTTAAAGAAAATTAAAACATGGCCATTTCAGAGAATATAAGGTCGTGCTCAATTTCATCTTAGTTGTTGTAGAGTAAGGCATGAAGAAATCAAACCAAGTTTTCAAAAGTAACATGTGAATTCTTTAATGGTCATTGGTATAGGACAATTAAGTTGGTAAAATAACATAAATATGGTACTTGATCTATAATTGCATCATCAAGTAGTTTGTGTATTTGATCTATAGTGGTGTTTTGGGAAATTGATAAAAACTTAATTTTTTAACTTTTTTTAGTGACTTTTTTGGTAAAAAGTTGGGTAATTTTAGGTTAAAAAATTGACTTTTTTAGCTAAAAAAAGTTTAAAAACCAAAAAATTAGGGTTGCGTTTAGTAGAGTTTTGTAAATATGATTTGAGAGTATGAGATGTATTTTGAGCTTATGAGTTGTAAAATTATGATTTGAGTGTAGAAAATTTGTTTAGTTATGGTTTTTGAATAGAGTGTAGAATTGAGTGTAGAATTAAGTTTTGAAAGTTTGATTTGACATGTGAAGTAAGAAAATTTGTTTTGTTATGAGTTTTGAAAAGAATTTTCAAAACTTAATTCAAATTATTATAACTTATAACAAAACACACTACTTTCACACTATTGAAAATTTTGATCAACACTCATAACTAAACTCTTTTTAAAATTTAATTAAATAAATTTATTATTAACAGAAAATAACAGTAATCAATTTTTTAATTGAAAATAGTACAAAGGAAATAATTTTTTTTCAAAATAAATATTCAAAAAATTTAAATCATAAATATTTAAATAATCTAAAAAATTTAATAAATAAAAAATTAAAATAAACATTCAAAAAATTTAAATAATTTAAATATTCAAAAAAAATTAATAATTTTAAATTTTAAATTTTAAAACAACTCTACACTCAAATCGTAACCAAACACATAAAACAAAACTCAATTAAAAAATTATTTTTAAAACTCATAACCAAACACATAACTCGAAACTCCATGCTACTTTCACAACTCTACACTCAAATCGTAACCAAATACATAACAAAAAAATTAAAATATTTAAAAATATTTTTATAAAATAGAGTTTGAATTTATTTTTATAAAATATTTTAAAATTTAAAAAATTAAAATCGCAATATTTAAAAATTAAAATATTTAAAAATATTCAAAAAATTTAAAAAATTAAAAAATTAAAAAAATAGTAACATATTTAAATATTAAAATATTTAAAATCTTAACAAAATTAAAATATTTTTTAAATATTTAAAATATTTAAAAAATTAAAATATTGATTTGAATTGAGTTTTGAAAAAAGTTTTGAATTATGTGTTTGGTTATGAGTTATGAAATGTAATGATTATGTTTTGAATTGAGTTTTAAGAAATGGGTGTAGAATTATAATTTGAAAGCTCAAAACAAACAATACACTCAAATCAATGAGTGGAACTATAATTCAAAACGCTTACCAAACGGAGCCTAACTTTTACCAATCTTCCCAAAGTGATTCATAATGGGACTAGGGGTGGCTGTTATTGAGTTGGAAAATGTTGAAGTTTCTTAATAAAACTCTTTTAATTTGATTTACAATGATGTGGTATGTTAAGTGTCAACTTTTAATTTATTGTATAACTAGTGTATGCCCGTGCCTAAAGGCACGGCGTAAATAATGTTATGGTAAATCATACCCAAACAGCGACTTAGGCTGTAAGTCACTTAGGCTGCCGCAAAACAATGAAGGTTGCGGACCATTTATACCCATCTCTGATTTATTGCTTATAAATAAGTGATTGGTTATTGCTTGTAAATCATACACCAACCTCCTCCAATACAAACTCAAATCCAAATCATACCCAAACACATACTTAATCAACAAAAATAAAAAATCACACAAACCAATATTTCAGTGAAATGGGTTTTGAAACCCACTTCAAAACCATCAAAAACAAATTTTACCCTAAAGGACTACAAAAATCCAACTCAATGCCAAACTTAAGTCTCACAACAATACAATGTAAAATATCATAAACCTACAAAGGGAACACCATCATCCTATTTACTATCTTTGGGTCCATGAAAAATTTACAATCATTTGTTCAAGATCATTATCATTAACAACAAATCATATTTGTTCTTCGACAACACAATCACCAAATATTATATGTTCATCATCATCATAAAAAAAATCAAAAAATTAACAATAAAACAGATCAGAGCCTGTACAAATTTTAGCTACAAAAATTTACTTTGCACAGATCAAGTCTTATACATGTATCTTATCTGCATCATCATCATTCTACATCATAATTCATCAACAACAGTAACAATATGTACTCACAACAACCAGATCATCACAACACCAACAACAATTAAAGATCAATCAGCAAGAAAAGCACAGATCCAATCCTAAAATCAACAACAACAACAACAACAACAATGAGCACTCATAACACCCAGATCATTACAACACCAACAACAATTAAAAATTAATCAACAAGAAGAACATAGATCTAATCCTAAAATCACTGCACATTAGATATTGATTAGGAATCATCTTGGCTATTCAAATGATATGTATCTGTGATACATTTTGGGACAAATTCAAAAATCGTTCTCCCTTATTCAAAAAATAAAAATCCACCTTAAATCAAAAATGGGTATAGATGATTTACTGTCTTTAGGTCTATGAAATCCACATTAAAAATAAAAATAATAAATCAGAGATGGATATAGAACTCTTGCATACCATCATTGATCGTCTCCACCTTATAGTCACTCATCATCCTATTTCACAACAATCAAAACCCAATACCTACTATTTTCAATGGTGCCTTTTTTTGTTTTTTTTTTTTTTAATGGCACTCAATGGTGTTCTTCATACACTATCACCACAACCATACTATAGGGCAATTAAACATTGCAAACCAATTCTTGGTGCTTGTAATTAATTGTGGAGAATATCAGATTGAGAATCGTAAGATTCTACTTTCTAGGTAAAAATACAAATTAGAATAATGAATAACAAAAATCAGGTGAAAAATCATAAATCCAGTGATCCTACTTATGATCCTACATATGATCCTACTTGCGATCCTACTATAACACCGATCCTACAACGATTTGGATCGTTTTGACAATTTAGGATTGTAGGACTATGATCCAAATCGCGATTTTGATAACCATGTATAATGCCCCAATGTGGTTGAATAAATTACATGAATGAAAACATACTTCAAAGAGAGTAATTGTAGGATTGATGTAAAAGTCATCAATTAAAAACAACTATAAAATTGAAATGATTGCTCTAAAATATAGCCAAATAAAAGTATTTGAAATTATTGACCTTCTTTCTTTTCGCTTCTGATATTGTTTCTTGTCACTTGATTTGGGCTCACATCAAATTTCAGAGGCTTTATCTTCAATATCAAATGCACCCAATAGTTCTAACTGGCCTTTCACAATTATTTTCTGTTGTAACTGAAGTTTAGAGCTAGGGAATTAAAATAA